CTGTGGTTTCTGCTTCAATATTATCGTAAACAGGATCCTCATCTGGGTCATCAGGGCTCCCTGTTAATGATTAAAAAAATAACAAAGAAAAGAATATCTAAAGGTGAAAAATGTTAAAACATCTTTTCTCATAGCTGCTGATTCTGGTTTTCACAAGCAAACAAATATTGTTATTACAGGACTATTTTATTATCTTGGCATTAGCTCAAATCATACTGTGTAGCATTCAAATGGAACTATATGCAAGATGTAGAAGGGCTCCCATAAAAAGTGTTGGCAAAAGGAAGGAAGAGTGATAACAATTCTATGAGATGATTGGGCCCCTGACTCCAATGTCGAGTTTTGTTTTACAGCTGGCAGAGTTAGCTGAATAATCAAACTCTTACCAAATCTGGTCAGGGGGAACACGCAACAATTTTCACATCGACACTAGGTAGGTAGGTAGGTAGGTAGTATTAATACATACACAATATATACGATACATGTTAATAATCAATTTATCACTATTGCCACATCATCGGATAGTGTGTGTTGTGGTGGATTTGTATAACGATTTATATACATAATAGACTTTATACTGACTATGCAATGTGATGAGCCTATTTTTTTACATAAATTACAGTAATCTACTGATGCCATGAAACAGCAAGTGTGTGTAAAAGTGATGAATTTATCTTTATTCTAAAAGTTTTAAGCTCCCTCAAAATAAGAAAATCATCATTGTTCAATGCTGTAGTGCATGTATTGTTTACTGGTCGAACTAAATGGTGTCTATGAATAAACAGAGATCAGTGGTCTAACTAGAGAGGACCAATATGGTGGCTGGTGACTTCACAGCAACTCTTATTCAGTGAATAAAGAGATCAGTGGGGTATTCCAGCTAACACGGACACATCCATATTTCTTGGCTTCAACCTTCTGCCCCCGATTGACATGTTTCATGTCATACGTATTTCATTGGCTAAAAACATTCTGTATTAAGACCAAAGGCGTGTTTGCTCCTGGCAAGATGTATTTCAATGAGTTTAATTCACATATCTCACGACAATTCAACTTTCTTGCAAGGTATTTGATAGGATCTCGGCAGAAGTATTCAGATCTAAAAATATACATCTCTTCATGTTTTTAATGTGTTAGAGAAACTTTTATTTTCATGTTGAAGCTCATTAAGTAAGAACTTTGAAATTATTAAAGAAATACTTAATAAAGAAATAATATTTCAAAGCATTAAAATCTGTCAACTGAAATCAGCCAGTTTTTGCATCTCTTACTGCTTCAAGAAATATAGTTTACCTTTGTTTGTGACCCGTTGGATTGACTCATACTCAGAAGTATCACCTGCAAAACAAAAATAGGTCAAAGTCAGAGTAAAGGAAACATGTTTTATATTTTATACTCAATATTTAGATTTCAATTTAGCTAAATTCAGGTGTAAATCCGGTATAACTTCTTTTCCTTCATTCACGGAACAAATTCAAATATGGGTGTTTTAAATATTTATTAAATCAAAGATTTTAGGAAGTTATTTCAAAGTCTAAATAAAAAACAAAGCTACCAACCGTGCAGCAGAGAGCTGTAAACTTGGCTGTCTGTCTGGTTGACTCCATGATTGGTGGTAGGGCTCTGACTGCTGCTTTCTGACCTAAATTATGTTAAAAGTTAAACCTAAATTCAAAGTATAGATGACAATGAATGTTAAGATCAGAGGAAAGTGAACACTAATATACTGACCTGATGCAGCAGAAATCTGTGGACAAAAACAGGGAATTTATTGTATTGTGATACAAATTCTTTCCTTTCTCAGTTTTGTCAAAGCAGTGAAATAGATTTAAATTATTTAGTTGTTTAAGTATTTAATTCACTACATAGTCCACCACAGTATGAAAAGAAGAAGCGTCTCACCTTTGAACAGTGTGTAGCACCACAACAGCAGCAGGATAATGAGAATTATTCCTATAAATGGTCCAACAATCATCAGCACAAAAAATGAAGAGTCAACAGGACTGGACAGAGACACTGTAACAAAGAAAAATTAAAGATAGGAAAGCACATTTTACACTGACAATAAATTAAAAAACAATATACACTGTAACAGTGCCTATTTAAAACAACCACGCTGACAGCCATTCATTCCTGACACAATATTCTTCCTGCCATATATTTAGTTTATCAGTATTTACAGGAATACATTATTATTAAAGTTTTTTTTTTGCTTGTTTTATAGTGCCCATCTCTTAATAAATACAGTTACAAGAAAATCAGGGGATTTAAACTTTCCTTGAAAACAAAGCTTTAGTGAATCAACTGCATCAAATGTTTTCATCCTCTCACCTCTAACAGCCATCCAGCTCTGTGGTGACTCCTTTCCTGAATGTTCACACTTGTAGAAACCTTCATCTGACTTTGACACTGCAGAGATGTTCAGCNAGGGAGTACCAATATGGTTGCTGGTGACTTCACAGCAACTTGTATTCAATGAATAAAGAGATCAGTGGGGTATTCCAGCTAACACGGACACATCCATATTTGTTTTGCTTCAACCTTCTACCTCCGATTCACATGTTTTATGTCATACATGTCACCGTATTTCATTGGTTAAAAACATTCTGTATTAAGACCAAAGGCGTGTTTGCTCCTGGCAAGATGTATTTTAATGAGTTTAATTCACATATCTCACGACAATTCAACTTTGTTGCAAGGTATTTGATAAGATCTCGGCAGAAGTATTCAGGTCTAAAAATATACATTCATGCTTTTAATGTGTTAGAGAAACTTTTATTTTCATGTTGAAGCTCATTAAGTAAGAACTTTGAAATTATTAAAGAAATACCTAATAAAGATATAATATTTCAAACCATTCAAATCTGTCAACTGAAATCAGCCAGTTTTTGCATCTCTGACTGCTTCAAGAAATATAGTTTACCTTTGTGTGTGGCCCGTTGGATTGACTCATACTCAGAAGTATTACCTGCAAAACAAAAATAGGTCAAAGTCAGAGTAAAGGAAACATGTTTTATATGTTATACTCAATATTTAGATTTCAAAAGTCTAAATCAAAAACAAAGCTACTAACCGTGCAGCAGAGAGCTGTAAACTTGACCGTCTGTCTGGTTGATTCCATGATTGATGGTGGGGCTCTGACTGCTGCTTTCTGACCTAAATTATGTTAAAAGTTAAACTTAAATTCAAAGTATAGATGACGATGAATGTTAAGATCAAAGGAAAGTGAACACTGATGTACTGACCTGATGCAGAAATCTGTGGACAAAAAGAGGGAATTTATTGTATTGTGATACAAATTATTTCCTTTCTCAGTTTTGTCAAAGCAGTGAAATAGATTTAAATTATTTAGTTGTTTAAGTATTTAAGTCACTACATAGTCCACCACAGTATGAGAGGAAGAAGCGTCTCACCTTTGAACCGTGTGTAGCCCCACAGCAGCAGCAGGATAATGAGAATTATTCCTATAAATGGTCCAACAATCATCAGCACAACAAATGAAGAGTCAACAGGACTGGACAGAGACACTGTAACAAAGAAAAATTAAAGATAAGAAAGCTCATTTGACACTGACAATAAATAAGTATACACTGTAACAGTGGCTATTTAAAACAACCAACCTGACAGCCGTTCATTCCTGAACACAATATTCTTCCTGCCATATATTTAGTGTATCAGTAGTTACAGGAATACATTATTATTAAAGTTTTTTTTTTGCTTGTTTTATAGTGCCCATCTCTTAATATATACAATTACAAGAAAATCAGGGGATTTAAACTTTCCTTGAAAACAAAGCTTTAGTGAATCAACTGCATTAAATGTTTTCATTCTCTCACCTCTAACAGCCATCCAGCTCTGTGGTGACTCCTTTCCTGAATGTTCACACTTGTAGAAACCTTCATCTGACTTTGACACTGCAGAGATCTTCAGCTCCTCTCTGCTGTCATTGTGGATCAGTTTGTTATTGTGATAGAAAAACACATTGGAGAGAAGTTTTTGTTCTTTATCTCTGCAGCTCAGAGTAACAGGATCTCCCTCAGTCACAGGAAGAGCGGGGCTCACCAGGATAATACTATGATGTTTATCTGTGAAACAGTCAAGATAATCAAGTTTTGGTCAGCAATCAGCTGGTGTATTATTTTCTGCATATTTGAAAATGAGCTTTTTATCACTAGTAGTTAAACCAAGTTAATGGACAGACCACCTTTTACTAACAATACAAGAATCTCAGTTTCAGAAAATCCTTCATCATTCTGAATTTAAGCTAATTACGAAAAAGGGTCCCTATAATTAAACATTGGAATGAATCATTTATGATCTTGAGATTTGGGATTATTCTCTTCTTGTTTCAGGTAATGATTTCATATTTGAAGGTAAAATGTGGGGGTTATAATCCACTTATTTTTCATGTTAAGATTAGAAAGGAGGGTTTCATCTTATCATGTTTTTATTTAATTTTATTAAAATTCTCCTGGAAAACTATAGGTTTTGTGTGACATCTGGATCGAAAACTGTTTTCTGCTCTATCTAAGTTACTAATCTTAAACAAAATCACAGCATCAGTAAACCAACAATCAAATAATTAGTAACTGGAGTATACAGTGTCTAAAACATGTCAATAAGAGAAAGAAAAAGTCAATCTGAGAAGGAAATAGGCCAAAACTGTACAAAATATATGATAATTTGGATGATTTGGGATGAAAATATTTCTTTGTGTGTAAATGCTCCCAAACAAGAACTCCTCAGGTGGCAGGTTTTGCTTCACCTGAATCAGATCTTAAAAACATCTTCTATAAAGTAAAATAAAAACAATGGCTATCAGGTATTAATCAGTAGATCCTTAACATTTGTGATGAAAAAAAGAAATATGTGTCAGTGAAATAATTTATTTTGTGGAAAATGTTTTTTTTTTTTTTCTAATAGTTAAGATAATGTTTTTTAAGTTGTTTGATTCAGGTTTTGAGATTTGTGTATTATGATTCTATTTTATTTAGTTATCACAAGATTTGTGTATATCTGAAAGGCTACAAGACTTGAATACACAGAGAAACAGAAGAAGTCTGGAACAAAGCTACGTGTAGCAGCCTCGTGTTTCCTGTAGCGTTCAAAGTATTTTGTATTTATGTTTGTAATATTTTGTAAATTTATTAATTATGGTGTTTTACTTGATATTTTAATTTAGAGTGGACGACGAACAATTATTCTGTCAAAGACCTCTGGAGTGGCAGGCAGTAACGAGATAATTTTTGTTAAAGCACGTTTCATCTGACTGTCTGTAAATGCATCTATATCTAAAGCTTTGTCTTTGATCTCTATAGTTTTCATGGGGAAAAAAAACAGCCTGTCTAAAGGAAGCCATGTCAGTCTTGTCCCTTTGGAGTTACAAAACATATTAGATGAAATACAAACTTTAAGGAAACTTCATTCTAGAAAGAGAAGGATTCTCTATTCATCTATTATAAACTCAGTTTCAGGTTCTCTGTTCCACAGGAAGAGGATGCATCTGTTATTTTTGCTTCAAGACTACCTTGAAGCAAACATTTACTTAAACACATGAAGCCAAATGTTGGAAAAACAGAAAAGTGAAAGAAGGAAGCTGAGCTGAATGATTTTGAAGGAAGAAAATATTTTTACCTCCTTTTTTATTTACTTCTAAGTTTTCTTGGAGAGCAAATACAACATATCAGTCTCTTGATTTTAATGTTATGTTCACAGTAACTGCAGGTTTTACAGTATGTGGAAACACAGTGAAAGGTGAAAGGAAATATAAAACATAACCTACCCTGTACAGTGATGTTGACTGCGTTGCTAAAATCTGCTGATCCAGACTCACACCAGTACACTCCACTGTGAGACCAGTCTGGGGTTATAGTATATGAGAATCCACTCATTATGCCCCAGCTGGAGCAGTGGATGTGTGGTAGTCCACCTGTTTCTCTAAAACTCCTCAGTCTCCACTCAGTGTTGTTCCCCTGACAGCTCAGGGTGACAGACTGATAGATAAAATGTTGAACTCGGTCCGGAGTCACTGAGAGAGAAGCAGCTGGATGAGCGTCTGAAAAACAATATAAAAATTAAAAAGTTAGTAAAATATTTGCATTGTTTTTTTTGTTTTGTTTTTTGCAGGGTTAAGTGAGGGGTTAGGGTTATTGTAGGGTTAGGGTAAGTGTGATCTTAGGGTTATATGTGGAAAAATGTGATCTGATTAAAATGTATTGCAAATACATGTGATTTACAGAAAAATAAACGGGGGCTTAATCACCTTCTATGCCTATAGGGGAGACCCTAAACATTAGACATTGTTCCTTTTGAGCATAAAGAGATTTTCTTGTCAATTACGATTAATAGATATAAACTCTGCTGTGCAGCCTCACCATCATCTTACAAACTTTGGCAGCTTCAGCTCCTGCCTCAGTGAAAACCAAAGTTTATATTTGTTCTAAGCGCTACTCAGTTTTTTCGCTTTTGGTTTCAAACATTTTGTTCTGCTTTTCACACTTGATCTGGACTTTCTCTCTTTCTTTTCACATCTCTGGTTGCTCCATTACTCTCTTGTTTACTCATTGTACACATGCACAATACTGATCTTATTATAGTAAATATTAAATATACTTAAGTTTAAAACAAATAGAGAAAAACAAAAAAAAAAAAAACAAATAAAGAGAAAATGCATATATAAAATACAATAAGCTAAGAAGGC